GCCACTACGGTGTCGCTGTCCTTCACTCTAGACTCCGGTGCGTTAGCCTGTTTCTTCCGCGACCACGCTGCCCTCACGCCGCTTGCTGTGCCTGCCGCTGTTGCCCTTGCGGACCCCTCCTCTAGTCCTGTAGTTGCTCGCAGCTACACTACCCTTCCCTATCCGGCGGTTCCCTCGGGGTCCTTTACAGGCCTGCACATCCCTTCGTTCTCCAAGAACTTAGTTGGTGTCGGCTGTCGTCAGGACCTCGGTGTCACCACTACGTTCCCTGGTCACGAGCGGTACACAATCTGTTCCGGGGCCACCTCAGGTGCCCCCCTTGGAACGTTCCCCCGGGACCCTGTGTCTGGCCTGTTTAGGCTGGACACTGCTCCCCCCCCGTCGGGCGAGTCCTCCTCCGGTTCTGCGTCCACCCAGGTAGTTGCGGCCTACTTGTGTCGGTCGCTCACTCACCCGTCACTGTTGTGGCACCATCGCCTACATCACCCCGCGCTCCCCCGCCTACGTCACATGTCTCAGCACGGTCTAGTCCTCTGCCTCCCTGCGTCGCTCCCTGCTCTCCCTCCCTCGCCTGCGCCGGCGTGCACGCCCTGCGTCGAGGGCCGGCTGCGCCATGCTCCTCACTCCTCCTCACTTCGCCCTACCACTGCACCCCTTCAGACCTTGCACTTGGACGTCTGGGGCCTTGCCCGTGTCCCTGGACCGCGTCGCGAGCGCTACTTTCCGGTGCTCGTTGACGACTTCACGCACCACACCACGGTGTTTCCCCAGGAGCGGAAGGCCGACGTGCCTGACGTTCTTATCCCGTGGCTTGTCGCTGCGCGCCTCCACTGCGGTCTCCCTGTGCTGTGTCTCCACTCCGACCGTGGCGGCGAGTTCGCCCCTGGTCGGCTGGGTCAGTTCTGTCGTGCGGAGGGTATCACCCAGACGTACACCCTACCGGACTCCCCGCAGCAGAATGGGGTCGCTGAGCAACGCATCCGTTTGGTCATGGAGGTGACTTGTACCTCCATGATCCATGCCGGTGCACCCCATTTTCTGTGGCCGTTCGTCGTTCGCTACGCCGCTCACCAGCTTAACCTATGGCCTCGCTCTCAGCGGCCGCAGGTTTCGCCGACCCTTCTTTGGACCGGGTTCCCTGGTGACGCGTCTCCGTTCCACGTCTGGGGCTGCCTCGCTCACGTTCGTACCTCCGGCACGGACAAGCTCACTGCCCGCACCGTCCCCTGTGTCTTCCTCGGTTTCCCCCTTGACTCGTCTAACTGGCACTTCTACCACCCGTCGTCTCACCGCTTCCTTCACTCCCGTGACATCACTTTCGACGAGTCTGTCTCCTTTTTCCACCGCTTTCCTCACCGAGGTCTCCCGGTTTCCCCCTTCCTGTTTCTGGTTCCCACTCCCCCGGACGCCCCTGCTCCCCTCCCTCCCCGTCCTGCTCCGGCAGGTGTGTCTCACATCACTCCCCTCCCGTCGGTTGTCCCGATCGAGGAGTCGGCTGACTCTGTGGCCCCGCGGCGCAGTCTGCGCCACCTGACCCTCCCCCGGTGTCTCCTCCTCCCTCGTCGCAGTCGCCGCCGGAGCCGCCGCCGTCACCGCCGCCGCACCTGCAGCCGTGGTCGTAGCCGCAGCCCTTCGTGGAATCTGGGGGTGCTGGAGTTGGAGAGGGTGCTAGTCCTGGGGCTCCTGTCGTGGCTTGTCCCGGCGGGCTCGGGGGTGGCACCAGTGCTGGAGACGTTTCTCGTTCTGGGGGTGCTGGCGTGGAGTGTACCGGAGGTAGCAGTGGTGCAGCTGGTGGTCCAGGAGTCGGTGTTCAACAGCAGCAGCAGCAGTCGCCGCCGGTGTCCGCCCTTCGCCTGCTCGGCCTTCCCTCCCCTGCCCGCTCGCCTACGCCTCCCTTACCGTCTCCCCCTCTTCCTATTCACGGTCCTGTGTTTCCTCCGCCGGTCTCGTCCTCGGCTCGTTTCCCCTCTCGTTCCCCTCCTGTTACTCCTCCTCTTTCTGCTGACCCGACGCCTCCGTCTCACGTCTGGTCTTGCCGTCCGTCCCTCTTGTGCTCGTCCTGTCTCTCCTTTTCAACGTTCTCACCCTATGTTGCTTCGTTCCCACGCGTCTCGTCCTCCCCGTTTGCCTTCGCCTCCTCCTTCGTCGCTCACTGTCGCGCCTCCCCCTCTATCTGACTACCTTCGTGCTGCTCGTCCTCTTGTTCCTCGGGTCCTTGCCTCCCTCGTTACCGACCCGTCTGTTCTTGTCTCTAGTCTTGATGCTCTTGTAGCTGCTGTCGCTGACTTTGCCTCTACTCGCCGCCTTGACTTCGCTACCGCTTTGGTTTTTGACCATGTCTGTCCTCTGTCTGTCGGGGGTGCTCCTACCCTCGGCAGTGACATCTTGGAGGACCGGCAGTACAAGCTTGCTTTCCTCGATAGGTGCCCCGTGAGTGGCACGACACGCTGCGTGCCACGCTAGCTGACCTGCATTTCTTTCCGTCCTCTGCTGACCCTTCGCTCCTCGTTCGTGCTGGCCAGACTCCGTTCTACATCCTGGTCCATGTAGACGACCAGGTCTTTGCTACAGAAGACAAAGACGCACTGGCCTCCGTAAAGGCTGTGCTGTTGAGGCGATACACCTGCAGTGACCTGGGAGAGCTGCGCCGCTACCTTGGCCTGCAGATCTCCAAAGACAGAGTAGCACGCACCATCACTCTTACACAGTCACACTTGGTGCGCCAGGTCCTTCAGAGGTTCGGTCTTCAGTTCTCCTCCGCTCAGCCCACACCTCTGCCGGTAGACCACAGGCTCTCAACTCCAGTTCTCGGGGAGTCAGCAAAGCCCAGTGGTCCTTACGCAGAGCTGGTGGGTTGCCTTATGTACCTGATGACTTGCACTCGCCCAGATCTCGCATACCCTCTCAACATCCTGGCCCACTTTGTGGCCACAGGCAGACACCGACCACAGCACTGGTCAGTAGCATGCAGTAATCGAACTTTGCTTTCGCTAGTTTCTTCGTCAGGTAGTCTGCAGCCATTTCTGTCGTGGGGCAGTAACTGAGTTGAAGTCTCCCCTTCGCGATTTCATCTTTGACGAAGAAATAGCGCAGGGCGATGTGCTTGGTTCGGTTGGCGAAGCCGTCCTTGTTCGCGATTTTGATTGCAGATTGGTTGTCGCAGAGGAGTGAGAAGACGGGCAGGGTCGCAATCTTTGCTTCCTCGAGTAACTCTCGCAGGTAAAGTCCTTCCTTCATCGCAGTGCAGAGGGCGATATATTCTGCTTCAGTCGAAGATAATGCGATTAGTTCCTGTTTCCTCGACTGCTAGGAGATAGTCCCGATAGGCTCTAGTCGGTAGATGTAGCCCGTCCTTGAGCGTCGATTTTCCCTGTCTCCCGCGTGGTCGGCGTCAACGTATCCGAGTAGTTGTACGGACGATGTCGTTACTTTACTGTAGGTAAGTCCGGTCGTCGGGATAGAGACGAAGTAGAGTAGTGCCCGATTTAGTTCCTCGAGATCTTCTTGTTCCAGCTGCTTCAGATGTGTCGCCAGTTGGCTCGCGCTGAAGGATAGGTCAGTTCGGCAGGTTACTGCTGCGAATAGTAAGCAGCCGAGCTTCTGCTGATACTCCTGGATTTGCTTCGCGGGGAGTTTTGCGGAGGTGTCATTGTTGTTCCCGTAGCGGTAGGGAGTTGTGACTGTAGTCGGTGTTAGTCCGAATTTCTTAGCGACAACACCTGCGTAATTTCCAGCATATAGATAGAACGCCGAGTTGTCTTCGACGACGTTCAGACCCAGGTACTGGGTCATGGTGTTAGACACCGTGAGTGTCAAGTCACTTTTCAGCTCCCCTTCGAACCAGATGGTGATGTCGGTAGTGGAGCCGATGTAGAGCAGGTCGTCGACGTAGACGATGAGTAGGATAAAGTCCCTTTCCTTTTGTAGTCGGTACATGCCTTGGTCGTGCGGCAGCTGTAGGAATCCGATTCTGATGAGGCGACCGTGAAGATGCTGCTGCCAAAGCCGCGGGGCTTGCTTGATCACGTATATGGATTTTATCAGCTGGCATATTTTTGTGGGGTCGTCGATGAATCCGTGGGGCTGCTCGACGAAGATCTTGGCGTCCACAGGTGCGTACAGGAAGGCATTTGCGACGTCGATCTGGCGCACTGGTAGTTTCTTCGTGGCCGCGACGGCGAGTAGAATGCGCAAGGAGGTGCGACGGGAGACTGGGGCGAATGTTTCTGTGTAGTCGGTTCCGTATCGTTGATTGAATCCTCGTACGACCCAGCGAGCTTTGAATCGTTCGATGGAGCCGTCCCCATTAGTCTTGATGCGGTACACCCACTTTCCCGAGAGTACGTTCTTCCCGTTGATGTTCGTTGCAGGTACCAGCTTCCATGTATTTCGGTCTTGCAGAGCTTTCAGTTCCTTTTCCATTGCCTCCTTCCATTTCGCCTTATGTTCCCCCCCCAGAGCCTGCGACAGAGTTGTTAGGATTAAGGACGGAGTCTAGGTGAACTTAGGAGCTAGAATTACTCAAAATATAAATCCGAAATTCTGGACAGAAAAGGCGTCTTCACAAGAAACGACGTCGACAAAAAACTAGCCGTTGGAATGTCGCGAAACTTGGATATGTTGTAGCTCTTAATCTCAGCTACCGTTCCCAATCTGAATCATGTTGATTGATGAAGTATTCGCGACGCTATGGCTTTCGACGCACTAGGGGGTAAGCTGTAGGAGGAGAACTTAACTCAATCTCAAGAGTTCAATCAAAGTTCAAGAATCTCACAAGGAATTAGAGGAGCAAGAGAAAGGTTGGGATAGAAAGAGAGGGACGAGAGGGAAGGTCCCAAGAGAGTCCCCAACCAAGGAAACCCCATAAGCACAAAGATTCCCTCCCTATAGGAACCCCAATTTTGACATTTGTCCCTTCCCAACCAATCCATCCAAGTTGGCCACCCTTGCCAACCTAGCTTGGTTGTTCCCAACCAATTTGCAGCTGTTACAGTAGAGTGACAAATTTCCCCAACCCCCAAAGGTCCCAACTCCATATAAAGTCACCCCACAACTTCACTTTGTAACCGCCGCAATTGTAACGCAAGCTCATGAACTTTGAATCTTCATAGCTTTCGCGTTCTTGCTCCGATTGAAGCGATTCTTGTTGCCTCAGAAAGATCTTCTCAAGATCTATCATCACAAATACCTGCTCAGACAGAATAACACAAAACACATTCCCAAACTCCAGAACACACCACACACAAATTCTTTCACACACAGTCAAACCATACATGCGAATTGAAACAAGGGATGGGAGGCAGACAGAATGTGATAGCATATGATGACATCACACAACAATCTCCCCCTCTGGCTGCCAACCATCATCCACCATACCAACATCTCAAGCATGCATACTCAATGCACACTCATCCCAGCAAGCTTCATGCCCTTCCAATGATCCGCCTCCGCCAGACGCTTAGTGAAAATATCTGCTGCCTGCTGATGGGTCTTCACTATCTCCAGCCGCACCTCCTTATCAAGGAGTCTCCTCACCCAATGCCACTTAGGCCTTATGTGTTTTGTCAGCCCATGCAGACAAGCATTCTTGGCGAGCTTCACAGCGGACTCATTGTCACAAAACACAACTGTCGGCTCCTCCTGACCAACTCCCAACTCCTCCAACAAACGCCTTAGCCACACTACTTCCTTGGCCCCATGGTGTAAGGCCATGTACTCAGTCTCACATGAGGACAATCCCACCTCATTCTGCTTCTTGTTGCGCCAGCTCATAGCACCACCTCCTAGCAAGCACACATAACCCCCAATGCTGGTGCCATCCGCTTTCACTGAGTTGAAGCTAGCGTCAGTATAGCAACTCAAGAGCATCTCTCCACTCTTCACATCTGCAGCACCTCTCTGCAACCGCTGCCTCACTCCACTGTACTCCAATCCCACTGATGCCGTAGCACTCACATAGCGGACCAACCTCTTGGCCGCTTCCAGCTGCTCATGACTAGGGCGTGAGACCACACTAGCCAACCGTGATGTAGAAAATGCAATGTCAGGCCGTGTATGATTTGCAGCATAATTCAGCGACCCAACCATCGAATGAAACAGCTTCCTGTCACTCTCACCCACTACCTCCTCATCAGCACATGGCTCCACAGTAAACCCTGAAGGTAGTGGTGTTGCTGGCTTTCCCCCATCTTGCAGCCCATACTTCTCAGCCAGCCCCTCACAGTACTTCCTCTGGTGCAACCTCAGCACACCCTTTTCCACATCTCTCTCCACGTGCATCCCCAAGTAGTACTTTACCTCACCCATCTTGGAGCACTTGAACTGCATCTCCAGCATCTGCTCTGCGCTGTCCAGCAAAGCAGTGGATGCAGAAAAGAGAAGGATATCATCCACATACACCAAGAGCATGAGGATTTCATCCTTCTCCTGCAGCAGGAACAGGCTGGGGTCACACTCACTCTTCTTGAAACCCCCAGCCAACAGCGCCTCCTCCAACTTGTGATACCATGCACGAGGCGCCTGCTTAAGGCCATAGATGGCCTTCTTCAGCCTGCAGACCCTGCCGCTCCCGTCATCCAGCCCCTCTGGCTGCTTCATGTACACCTCCTCCATAATGATCCCATTCAGAAAGGCAGTCACAATATCCATCTGCCGAATCTTCCATCCCAGGAGTGCAGCTATCGCCAACAGCACCCTCAGTGTTGTTCCTTTCCCCACAGGAGCAAACACCTCATCATAGTCCTTCCCCTTTGTCTGCTGAAACCCCCGTGCCACAAGCCTAGACTTGTAGCGGGTCAGCTCCCCTTCAGGTCCATACTTGTGCCTGTAGATCATCTTGGAAGTGATTGCCTTCTTTCCATGAGGCAAGTCACACAGGTCCCATGTCTCGTTCTCAATTAGGGACCCGAACTCCTCATCCTCACTCGCCTTCCACTTCTCCCCATTTGGTCCATTCAAAGCCTCCTCTCGAGTCTTAGGCTCAGGGATTGGTGCCCAGTAGCAGTGAGCGATCTCATCTTCCTCAATCTGCTCAACCACACTCCCAGCCTGCACCACATTCGGCTTGCCTCTTCCCCCATAGGTCAGCCTCACTGGAGGGCGCACATCCCTCCTAGGACGCTCAGGCGGGTGTGGAACTCGAGGTGGAGACTCATGCTGCTGCTGCTGCTCTACTTCAGCTGCTCCCCCTTCCTCAGTCACCCCAGACATCTCCTCCTCTGACACTGCAACCTCCACCTGTCTTGAAGGCTGCTGCACCTCATCTGCCTCCACAATGAGCGGTGTAGATGGAAGCTTCTGTTGCTGCTGCTTCCATTCCTTGTAGTACAGGGACTCAAGAAACTTCACATCCCTTGACACTGTCAACTTCTGGGTGGTCAAGTCCCATAGCAGCCACCCCTTGTAATCCTTTGCAATCCCCAAGTGCACACCCCATCTTCCAGAAGCCTCCAACTTCCCCCTTTTCTCCTTAGGCACATGAAACACCACCATGCACCCAAATGCCCTCAGCATGTTCACAGCTGGAGCACTCCCATACCACTTGACATACGGGATCCACTCCTTATCTCCAACTGTAGCCAGCACCCTGTTCTTCACAAGGGCGACCTGCCTCAGTGCAGACACCCAAAACGGATCAGGCAGCCCTGCACGCCCAAGGAGAGTGCGTGCCCCCTCCTGCAGGGTCCTGTTGAACCTCTCAGCCACGCCATTCTGCTGCGGGTTGTAGGGCACTGTCAGTTGATGTTGGATCCCCTTCCTCTTCAACTCCCCCTCAAAATCAGCTCCAATGAACTCCCCACCATTGTCACTACGGATCACCTTCACCTTGTGTCCGCATTCCCTCTGAGCTCTAGGCATCCACTCCTTAAGGACAGCCGCTGCCACCTCCCCCTTGCTCTTCAAAGGGTAAACCCACACTGCCCGAGTGTGGTCATCTACAATTGTCAAGAAATAGCGGCTGCCTGAGAGGGAAGGGGCTCTTGTGGGCCCCACCACATCTATGTGCACAAGTGCAAGTGGGGTCTTGGCTGGTCCTGTAGTGCTGTTGAAGGGGAACTTGGAGAACTTGGTCTCCAAGCATGTAGGGCAGCTCCCAATCTCCTTCACTCCCCCTTTCACCTCCAAGCCCTTCAGGCTCCCATCCTTCACCAACTTCTGTAGCATAGGGAAGTTCACATGACACAGCCTCTCATGCCATGTCTCCCAATCGGCCTCTCCACTCCTTGATGAAGCCTTAGCCCATGCCGCACTCGCATCCACACCAGCAAGCACCTCACCATGTGTCTGCTGCTGCTGCACTTTCTTGACTGCTTCCAGGACCCCATCAGTTGGTGCAGTTGCATCTCCTCCTGCTGTTGCCTTTGCCGCTGCTGCCGTTGCTGCTGTTGGAGTCTTCCCATTCCATGGGATGATGGGCAGCTGCCACAGGTCCTTGATGCAGCTGGTCTCCTCTTCCAGACTCCACAGCACCTTCTTCCCAAGCTTAGCACGGCAGCTGGTTGGTCCAAAGGTCACTTCGGCCTTGCTCTTCTGCAGTCGTCGCACAGAGAGAAGGTTAGCAGACAAGCCTTCAACCAGCAGAACATTCCCAAGCCCCACAAGCTCCCCATTAGCTCCCTTAACCTTGGCATTTCCAACACCAATGACAGGGAGCAAAGCACCTGACGCTGCTGCCACATACTTGATCTTCCCAGGGGGTTTTACCTCATCAAGCAAATCTGCCCGTGGGGTCATGTGACTGGTGCAACCCGAATCAATCACCCAGTGCGTGAGAGGGTGCATCACAACCTTGGAGAACTGTGTACGCCAGCAGTGACTGATACGTGAAGATTTCTTGCTCTTTTGCAGTGCCATTGCTTGGAAATGGCTGGGACCCGTTGAAGTATCCCAAGAGGTGCGCAGCCTCCATCAGCAGCTCGAACTCAAAGCTCCAGGTAAAGAAGTCGTGTCCGTTGAACGGTGAGGATGTCTGCAGTTTGATAATGTGTGAAAACTGCGCCTGGAGACTCAGTATCTCGTTTGGTGTCTGTTGTGATGCAGCTGCTGTTGGTTGGGCACGGGGCGGCATGAACTCAAACGTCCCCGGTGAAGAGTGATAAGGCGCAAAGGTAGGCGCTTGATTGTGTCGCCCGAACAATGAGTTGTGGAGGCTCATCGGCGCTAATCTCATGTTTCCTCCGTTGCTCTGTCTTGAATGCGCAGGTGTCCTTATCTGCTGCTGCTGGTCGAAGTGTGACATGAAGCTGAAGAACCTTTCCATAAGGTTCGGGTCGATGCTTGAAGAGGGTGATGGGGTCACCATTTCAGGTGCTCTTCCTGTTGTTTCTTGAGCAGCGCCGGTCTCGGATTGCAGTCCTGAAGTGTGTAATCCAGAGTTGCCGGGTTGGGTGTCTTGGGCGCTGGGTGAGCCCGTAGAGGTCTTCTTGCCCTTGTTGTCCATGACTTGTAATTAATGAAGCTTATTGAAGTTGTTGAATGTAGATAGAGCGTAGTTGTTGGGAGTTTGGTCTCTGACCAGCTCTGATACCATGTTGGGCTGAGAAAAAGCCCTTAGGATCTTTCCAGAGACTAAGTTCCAGTTGTAAAAAGGAGACTTGAGTAGTGCAACGGAAGTTGAGTAGTTGAACTCTTGTACTAGTGTGTGAGAACAAGTGATTGATTAAAAGAACAAGCATACAGCAATATATAGAAAGTAGGAAAGTAAAGCAGTTGTAGAATACAGTTCAAAGGGCAGTTATCGAGTCGCACAGCGACTCGATTGTCGCTTCGGTTACCATTCTTGCAGTTGTAACGGTCAGTCGCAACCTCCGGTTGCAACCCTTCGAGTCCTTTCGTGTTCTTTGTCCATCCCCTCGTGTAACCTCCGTTGACTCGCGTACCCGTTACGATCTTCCTCGAGTGTGGTGTTACACTTCAGAAACGCTTAAAGCCCGTGGCTATAATAGCAATCAAGAGGGCTGTTTAATTTGCTCTTGAACTTGGCACATGACTTGATCTTGAGAGTAAACGAAACAGAATAAAAACATTTCGTTTTGCAAAGCGGAATCTGACCGTGGCAGTTTGGCGACAGTTTTTGCACGAACCATTCGGTGAACAGTGCAATACGCGTCGTGCGACCGAATTCGTGGTTCCGTGAACAGTGAAAATGCGAGAAGAACAGTATTTTTTTTGCGAACAGTAGCTGATTCTGGAATTGCAGACCTGGAAATCACTTGAATTCCCCAGTCAAAAAGCGCCTGTATTTCCTCGTCGCAAGCTGCTCGCCCAAACCCGTCGTAGAAACTCCGTGCGATGCAGACAGTGTTTTTACGCAATTCGCATCCAAATGATCGTGTCGCAACAAACAGCAAAACGAGTTCTTTCACCATTCCTCCAATCAGCAAGCTCGACCAGAATTTGTTTCGACGCACTTTTCTTGTTCATGCTTGAACTCAAAGCTGCCTTCCATTCTATACTTCGACGGATTTCAAAGCACCAAATTCAAGTGGTTTCCAGGTCTGCTATTTTAGCCGCGGGCTTTAAGTCCTCGAGATATTTCCAACACATTCTTTCTAGTCTTAACACAACCCCCTCCTTCTAATCTCATTCCTCTTCTCGCTCTATATTCTCCTAGCCTAAAACCTCACGCCATTCCATGGCTTCCCTAGCTACCTAGCTAGTTTAACACAACCCATTAGGTTATATTCTCTTGTATGTCACTGTTCATGTAATTTTTTGAAAGCGTG